GGGGGTTCCTGTTGCATGAAGTATTGTTTTCCATCCTTTGACTTTCAGTCTGTGAGTATCCTTCTGCCTTAGATGGGTTTCTTGTAGACAGCATATGGTTGGATTTTGTTTCTTGATACATTTTGCCAGTCTGTTTCTTTTAATTGGTGCATTGAGACCATTTACATTGATAGTCATAACTGTTATATGTTGGTTTATTTTTGACATGCCATCTTTCTGCTGTTGCATCTTTATCTTTCTGTTTTGTTTAATTATCTGCTTTGCTTGGTGGTTTTTTCCTAAGTGTATCCAAACTGTCTTTCAATATTTTTTGCAGGGTTGGCTTGGTGATCATGAAGTTCTTCAGCTTTTCTTTGTCATGGAAGTATCCTATTTCACCATCGATTTTGAAGGATAGTTTTCGAGGATACATCAGTCTAGGTTGGAAATCATTTTCCTTTAGGATCTGGAATACTTCACTCCATGCTCTTCTTGACTTTATTGTTTGTGCTGAGTAGTTTGCTGTGATTCTGATAGGTTTTCCTTTATAAGTGATCTGTCTTTTCTCTGTGATAGCTTTTAATAATCTATCTTTTGTTGGATTTCTGGGATGGTTATTATTATATGTCTGGGTAAAGTTTTATTTTGGTTATGACTTTTTGGAGTTATATGTGCTTCACTGAACCTGTTGTTGGCTTCTGATCTCATGCTTGGGAAATTTTTATCTATTACTTCTCTAAATATCCTCTCAACATCCTTTTTTATGTCATCCCCTTCTTTTTCATTAATTCCTATCAATCTTATGTTCTTTTTCTTTGTGTCATCTTGCAGTTGTTGAATTGTTATTTCCTGATTCTTTGTTATTTCTAAAGGATCTTTACTTTCCTGTTCACTAGCTGCAATGTTGTCTTCAAGGTCTGAAATTCTATCTTCACTTTCATTGAGGCAGCTTTTACAGCTTTCAGTGGAATTTTTGATTTCCTGTATATCTCTATGCATCTGCTTTATGTATTTTGTTTGTTTTATATATTGCTCATCTAGGGATTCTATCTTTTTGTTTAGTTCCTCCAAATTTTTAACTGTGTTTTCTTTAGATATATTCAGCATCTCTTTCATTTCTTTTATCATTTCTTCTTTTACCTGGGAGATTATTTCTAGTTTGAATTCCTTTAAAGCTTCCCAGAGTTGCTTGTTTATTTCAGTTGGTATTATGTCCAATATTTGAGGTGTATGGAATGTATTTTCTTCTATATACTTGCTTCTAAGGTTTCTTTGGATGGGCTGGAGGTTTCAGATTGTAATTTGGTCTTTCTTTTTGTTATTTTCCTATATTTCTGTGTTTCAAGAGTTTTAAGTCTTATTCAAAAGATTCCTCAGCGTCTGTTGGAAATCCACTTCTATGTCCTCAGCTCTTGGGATTCTGGCACCCAGTTCCCCCAGGCCCTGGGCTTCTGGAACCAGTGGTGCTCTCTTGCTCGCTTAGAACTCTACAGTCCTCCAAGCACAGCCAGGCACCAGAAAGTGGATGCAGGCACCCCAGCCCAGCCTAGCTGTTCCAGTGCACCCTGAAGGCTCTCGAGGGTCCCAAACAAGCTGAGCTATGGGGGAAAGTGCATGGGGCAGTTACCCCAGGATGCTGGGCTTCTGGAACAGTGGTGCTGGCCTGCTTCCTTAGAACTCCACCGTCCTCCAAGCACATTGGGAGGCAGATACAGGTGCCCCAGACCCGCCTAGCTGTTCCAGTTCACCCAGAAGGAGTGAGGGTCCAAACAAGCTGGGCTCTGGGGTAAGTGGGCCCCTGCCTGCTTGCTTAGAACTCCACAATTCTCCCAGCACAGCTGGAATGGGGAGGCGGAACCAGCATTCAGTTTTTACAGTTGCACAAGTGCCTCTCTGTGCTGCTGTTAGAATGTCTAATGTCTAATGATTTTTAAGGACGACCTGTGATAAAAGCACATCCATCTTATATTTTATAGGAGATCCACTGGCTGTTAGATGATTTTTTCTATATGGCTGCATGAGCATGTAATACTAGGAAAGCACACTTAGAATTGGTATAAATACTGACTTTTGGTCCCTTGCTGAGTTGTGAGTCTCTGGTCAGAGCTATGAGCTCTGTTAGCTGAACACTAGTTCCAGGTGCAAACGAGGAGCTTCCAAGAATGTGGTGTAAAGTTATCACTGTACACTCTGCCTTCTTTATGCATCTTCCATGAAGGAGCTGCCATCGCAGAAGAGGGTTAAATCTGGGTCTGTAAGTGGGATGTCTAAAAAGTCTTCTGGATGCATAAGTATGAAGAATTACCTGTTCACAGTAAGGTGTATGAATCTCAGTTTTTTCTCCTGTTCTGGCAGCAAGGTGGTGGAATTTAGGAGGAACATGTATTTATTTGAATGGCCAGTGCTTCTAGAAGTAGAGTGTGGTATTTAAGATGTCAGTTTTTGGACATCCATATATTCCTCTTGGAAGAAAGGAGTCCTGCCACATTGTGATGTGTACATATTCTAAATGTGTCTAGGTCCCATACGTGGGCTGCTTTTGGTTAAAGCTTCTTCCACTGTCACCTGGAAGCTGGTTCTCCCCAGTATGTATCAGGTTTAATTTCCAAAGGAGATTTGCCTAGAACACTGAGTGGGAACATGGCTCTTATTGTGTTCTCCTAGATGGGCACAATTCCATTGTCTCATCTGACCTGGAGACGGGGTGTGTGTCCCTCATCTAAGATGACTTCCCTGTCTTCAGTGTTGGCAAACACTCATTTTCTATTGGCTTAACTAAGAAGGAAAAGACTGGAATAATCTATTTTTCCTAACTTCACATGCCTCTATAAGGGAAGTACAAAGTGGAAATGAGTAGAGGTAAAGTCAAAGGAAGGAGACTGAAGCAGAGCAGGCTTTATATTTCCTCTAGTGTACAGAGGAGGATCAGAGCCAGTGTGTTACAGTGAAACTTGTCCTCCAAGCCTTGAAGACTGGCCCACCAGCCTAGTGCTACTTAAATGGTGGAAGGAGTTCTGGATTTTATTGTAGGCACATATATTTTCTAAATCTGAGCTAGATTTCCACTTAAGAGAACCTTTTTACAGGAGTTTACATTAAAATCTGTCAGACATGTTCTAACATTTTTCTCTGTAGTGCTATTGTCTAAATATAGTCAAATAGTACCAGTAACTTTAGCAACTAATTTAAATTTAGCTTGTACAAGAATAATAATGTACCATTAAAAATATCATAACTTGAAATAATTTCACATGTTTTAATTTAGATTCACATTATTTTAATAAACCAATTAAAACAAAGCAATTAAATTATTAGACAAAGCAATTAAAAACAATAGGCAAATAACAAGCAATTATCACAAGTAGTTATAAACAACTGGCAAAGACAAAGCAAGAATTGAAGCATAAAATTTGTTACCTACTTGAGTACCAGTCCAGAGTCTATGAAGCTAAAGCAAACTCTCACCTCCATCCAGTGATCTCGGTGGAAGACCTCCAAATGATACAGCGGAATGAGACTCCCGACTTACTGTGTCCGTGAGTTTGTGTTCTCTAAAATCGAAGAATGAATTTTAGGAAGAACAGAGGTTAAGGGTAGAATATATTTATTAAGAGAAAGAAAGCTTCTGTCTGAGAGAGGCAGAAGGGGTCTCAAGCAGCTTGCTCTGGGCTGTAGAAGTTTAAAAATCACCCTATGACTAAACCAGAGACTTCAGCTTTCATCCATTGTACGTGGGTCACACCGCAGTGTGAGCAAATATTGATTTTTCTCCAAATGTAAGTTAAAGAGTAAAAGGAGAGAGAGGTGTGTTTGGGGCTGGCCTAGATGTGGCCTCTCCCATGACTTCCACTGTCTCTGCAGAGCACCTTGCGGGACCCGGGAATTCCAGCTAGAGCTCCCACCCTTTCTTCCAGAACCTTGGACTACAGCAGATTAACTGTGCTAGGTTGAGGGGAAATTCAGTGACTGCCTCACCCAAATGGAAGATCTCGGCAGGCTCCATTCAGGGTGGTGAGTGTGCCCCTAAAATAGAGGTGTATAATGGGTAAACAGGCTAGTAGTAAGGCTCCATCCAACTAACTGCAAGACCTTGGTGAATCTGACAAGAGTGTGGGTGACCCCTTCCTGCACACAGAAAACTTCAGGCAGAGTAAGGAGTGTGCCAGTAAGGATTCCCCCAACTTGGAGAAAATCAAAAGAGTTTATGAGACACACAGGCACACAATAGGGACACAGTAGGGCCTCAGCTGACAAAAACAGGGAGATTTGGTGACGTGGAATAACCTGAAGATAAAGTAATACCATGAACTAAAAGTTGACCTACACCAATACTACTAGGCCTGTCAGCCCAGGAAAGACTCACCCTACAGGCCCTGCAGGGAGAAGTCAGGTGGCTGGCCCATCTCTTCATTGAGGGACTCAGCAATTGGACAAACATCAACCTTACATTAAGACCCCAAGATACACACTGCCAACAGTTGACACTCATGGGATCGAAAGACCAAATATTAACTTGAAGAGGGAAACAGCAAAACGAAAAGCAAAATGCAGTGTCAAACATCTAGTCCACCAGGAGCAATTACAGGAGACACTGAAATAGAGGACTTCAAGAGTAACACACTGGAAATCTCCAAGAAGACAGTGAGTGAAATAAAAAAAAAAAAACAACAACTCCATGCACCCATAGAGGACATCAAATCAGAAGTACTCTCCCATGTAAAGATAGAAATAACAACCATAGTAAAGGAGGTGCTGAGCACAGCTAAAGAAGAAATAGAGAAAAAAGTACAGGAGCATGGGAAACTGATTGAATCCTTGAATGAACAATATAGAAAACATGCAGAAATCAGTAAACAAACTCACAGAGACACCCAAGAAACAAAATATTCTATTCAAAGCTGGCAAAATCATTTAAATGAAACTGAGGATAGAATTTCAGACTTTGAGAACAGGATTGCAATTAATGATCAGGAAAGGATAGAACTTTTTTTTTTTTTTTTTTTTTTTTTTTTTTTTTTTTACATCAGACAGTGTCATAACAAGGTTCAAAGCAGGCACATGTCATGCATGGAGCATGAATACCTAATCATCATGTTTATGAACCTGAGTATCAAGGATAGAACTTTTAAAAACAACAAAGCAGCATGAAGTGACAATCCAGCAGCTTCAAGATGATGCCAAGAGCAACATTGTAAGTTTATTTTGTTTTTGAATATATTTGTATTTTAAAGAGATTAACTTCAAAAAGGACATAACAAAGCAGATCAGAACAGAACAATGTAAGCAAAGCAGTATTTTACCACAAGACAACCTGTAATTAACTATAACTACAATAACATCTCTTTCTTTGAAATAGTTGAGCAAAACTTCATATACAGTAGAGTCAAACATAGCAAAATAGTACAAAACAATTCAAGAGAATGAAAGCATTACAGGGCATTCAGAACCAAATAACAGACAATGAACAATGGCTACTGTATTATCTCATTTTCCATAGAAAATTTGTTTATACTATCATACATAATGAAATCCAATATGATACAATATGATAGAACCAATGGAAACAGAAGGACAAAAGCATGGTAGGACCTCAGAGTAAGAGGATATTAAATCAGTACTGGCCATTATAATGTCTTGTTTTCTTCAAAATAGCTGTTCATGCTATCACAGATGATAAAATCTAACAAACCAGGATAAAACCATTTCAACTAATGAATACAAACATTATAAGGCTTCAAAGCAATGTAATGGGGAATCATAATACCATAAGCTCTTATGTACTCTTACTATTTCTTACACTAGGGAGACTATACGGTATTTATACATGTGAGTTTGATTTATTTTGCTTATGAATATGGTCTCAAGTTGCATCCATTTATTTATAAATATCTCAATGTGATCATTCTTTATAGCTGAGTAGTACTCCATTGTATATAAATACCACAACTTTTTAATCCATTCCTCAGCTGATGGACACTTAGGTTGTTTCCATGATCTGGCTATTACAAATTGTGCTCGTATAAACATGGAACAATGTAAGTTTAATAGGCATAAGTGAATATGCAGAAGTCAATGCAAATAACACAACTAAATATTCATAGAACTAACAGCAGAAAATTTCCCAAACATGGGGAAAAATCTGATATGCAGATATGTGAGTCATATAGAATGCCAAAATTCACAATCAACATAAATCTAACACAGACATATTATAATTAAGGTTTCAGACATACAGCATAAAAACAGAATATTAAAAGCTATTAGAAAAAAGACACAACTCACCTATCAAGGAAAGCCCAATAGAATCACAGCAGAATTATTAACACAAACCTTCAAGTCAAGATGAGCTTGGAGTGAGGTATTTCAAGTACTGATCAACCCAGACGGATGTATCCAGCAAAACTTTCATTCATATTTAATGGAGAAACCAAGATACTTCCATGACAAAGAACAACTGAAGCAATTCACGTCCACCAAGCCAACCCAAGAAAGAATATTGAAAGACACTCTAGATAGAGATAAAAATGACCACATTCTCCAGAACAGCAACAGAAAGAAACCACCAGGTAGGACAAGCAATTAAACAAGGAGGAAAAGCAGAAAGCAAACAACTGGAGCATAACATAGCAAAGTTGAGCCAGTACATATCAGTTATATCCATAAATGGCCTGAATTCATCTATTAAAAAATAGGCTGATAGAATGGATCAAGAAACATGATCCCACAATATGCTGAATACAAGAAAAACATCTGATCCAAAAAGAAACTCATAGATTAAAAGCCAAAGGATGGAAAACAGTATTCCACGCAACAGGAACCCAGAAAAAAGCAGGGGTAACTGTTCTATTTTCAGACAACATGAACTTCAAACCTAAAATAATTAAAAGAGATACAGAAGGTCACTACCTACTCATTAGTGGAAAAATTCAAGAGGAAGAACTAACAATTATAAAGATATGTGCACCAAATACAGGAGCGTCCAACTATATAAGACAGATAGTAATGGACATGAAAAACCAAATACACAAGAACATAATTATAATAGGAGACCTTAACATCCCATTGTCACAAAGAGATAGATCAACTAGACAAAAAGTCAGCAAAGAAATAGTGGACCTGAATCATACCTGCGAGCAATTGGACTTAGTAAATGTTTACAGAGTGTTCCACCCAACCACATCATAATACACATTCTTCTCAGCTGCAAATGGAACATTCTCCAAAATAGACCATATATTATCCCATAAAACATTCTTAAGTAACTTCAAAGGTATTGAAATTATCCCATGTGTACTATTTGGCCATAGTGCATTGAAATTGGAAATTAATGGCAAAAAATTGCAAAACCTGCATAAATACATGGAAATTAAATGACAATCTTGAGAACAACAAGTGGGATACAGATGAAATGAAAGAAGAAATAAAGCAATACCTACAATTCAATGAAAATGTGGAAACAACATACTGTAACCTGTGGGATGCAATGAAAGTGGTCTTAAGAGGGAAATACATAGCAATAAATTGTCATATCAAGAAAACAAAATGAGCACAAATAAACAATGTAATTCTTCATCTCAAGCTTCTAGCAAAAGAAGAGCAAGTTAAACCTAAGGCTCATAGAAGAGATGATATTGTAAGGATTAGAACAGAAATCAATGCAATTGAAACTAAGAAATATAAAGAATTAATGAATCAAAAAGCTAGTTTTTTGAGAGATTAACCCAAATTCACACAATAAGGATTGAAAAGGGGAAATTACTTCAGATCCCATGGAAATTCAAAAGATCGTGAATACCTACTTTGAAAATCTCTACTCAAATAGAGTTGGAAGACAAACAGGAAATGGGCAGATTTCTAGAAACATATGAACTACCAAAGCTCAACCAAGAAGATACAGCAATTTTAAATAACCCAATGTCAGCTATTAAAATTGAAAACATAATTAAAAACTTAGCAACAAAGAAAAGCCCAGGAAGGTCCTGATGGATTTATGGCTGAATTCTACAAGAAATTCAGAGAAGATATGATGCCAATACTCTTTAAATTCTTCAATGAAATTGAAAAGGAAGCAATCCTCCCTAAATCATTCCTGGAGGCAAGTATTACTCTGATACCAAAACCAAAGAAAGACCCAACCCAAAATGAGAACTATAGACCAATCGCACTAATGAACATTGATGCAAAGATTCTCAATAAAATACTGGCAAATAGAATGCAGCAAATCATTGAGAAGATTATACATTATGACCAAGTGGGATTCATTCCAAGAATACAGGGATGGTTTAATATGCACAAATAAATAAATGTAATACACCACATCAACAGAGTTAAAATCAAAATCACACAATCATCTCAATAGATGCACAAAAAGCTTTCTTTTTTCTTCTATTTTTTTTTTACCGGTATCAAGGATCAAACTCACAACCACACTATTGCAAGGCAGGCACTTATGACATTGAGCTAAATCTCCAGCCTCACAAAAAGCTTTCAATAAACTCCAACACATGTTCATGATACAAACCCTTTAGAAACTTGGAATACATGGTGTCTACCTCAATCTTATAAAAGCCATCTATGACAAACCAACAGCCAACATTATACTAAATGGACAAAACCTGAAAGCTTTCACTTTAAAGTCAGGAACAAGACAAGGATGTTCACTATCACTACTCCTATTCAATATAATTCTGGAAACACTAACCAGGGCAATCAGACAAGAGAGAGAAATAAAAAGATTAAAGATAGAAAAGGAAGAAGTTAAATTATCACTATTTGTAGACGACATGATACTGTATATAGGAGTTAAAACACTACTAGAGGTAATAAACAAATTCATCAGTGTAGCTGGATACAAAGTCAGTGCTCAAAAATCAATAGCATTCCTGTACACAAACAAAAACTCACCAAGAGGAATTATGGAAATATCGTCCTTCACAACAGCATCTACAAAAATGAAATACTTAGGAATCAGCCTAAGAATGTAAAAGGCCTACGTGCTGAAAATTATGCTACACTAAAAAAGGAGATCAAAGAGGATATTAAAAAATGGAAAGATATTCTTTGCTTTTGGCTAAGAAGAACCAACATTGTGAAGATCGCCATACTCCTAAAACTGTTATACAGATTTAATGCAATCCCAATCAAAATACCATTAACATACCTCACAGATCTAGAGAAAACTCTCTTAAAATTCATTTGGAAACAGAAGAAACAGAATAGCAAAGGCAATCCTGAACAACAAAGGCAAGGCATCTCAATTCCTGAATTGAAACTATACTACAAAGTCACAGTAATAAAATCAGCATGGTACTGGCAAAGAAATAGGCCTGAGGATCAATGGAACAGATTGGAAGATGCAAGCACAACCACAGAGACACTTGGCCACCTGATATTTGACAAAGGGGCTAAACATGTTCACTGGAAGAAGGATAGCCTCTTTAATAAATGGTGCTGGAAAAATTGGCTCTCCACATGCTGAAGACTGAAACTAGATCCATGCCTATCACCATGCACAAAACTAAAGTCTAAATGGATCAAAGATCTAAATATTAAAACAGAAATGCTGAATCTACTGGAAGACAAGGTAGGTCGAAGTCTTGGAGACACAGGGGTAGGCTAAGAATTCATGAACAAAATGCAAACTGCACAGGAAAAATTTCAAAGAATCAACAACTGGGATCTCATATTATTGAAAATTTTCTGCACTTCAAAAGAAATCATGGCCCTTTTTGTAAGCACTCCTGGCACAAGCCAGAAGGAATATCAGTGCTCCTGAGATTCAGCCATGGTGGAACTTACGCAGCTTATTCACCTGCTCCCTTGGTAAGTGCCCCCAGTGTGGGCCAGGAGGAGAACCAGTGGCTCCTGTGAGCCTACTGGCACTTGGGCTGAAAATCAAAGACCCTCCCCTCTCCTCCCCATAGCTACTGGGGATAGATGTCTCAGCATCTCTTGGGAGGATGACCATGTGCAATATAGCAATTATGCGGGATTTCCTTCTATCCTCTGTTTGAAGGCAAAGGTTGTTTTCACTGCTTGTTACATTTCTTTTGCTCTATTCAATACTCTCAATTGGTTTGATAACATTCTGTTTTTGGTTTGATTTCGCTATACCTAAT